TCCAAAACAGATCTATTGGTTCTTTTGGCAGCCCATGGCACTTTTAGTATTCTCCTCCAACACCACAATTCAAAGGCATCAACTCTTCTATGGTCTTCCTTATTCACTGTCCAGCTTTCGCATCCATATAAGGTTATTGAAAATACCATGGTTTGGGTCAGGCGCACCTTAGTCCTTAAGCTGACATCGTTGCTCCCCAACACTTTAAAAAGTTCCTGTGTGGCAGATTTGCCTAATGCAATACGTCGTCTGATCTCTTGACTGCTGTTTCCGCGAATGTTGATAGTTGATCCAAGAAGAATGAAGTCCTTGACAACTTCAATCTTATCGTGCCTTTATAGTGCCCCCATTTTAGGTAGCCAATGTCTAAGTTGTCCGTCCCTATCAACACTGTATACAGACGAGATAGAATCAATACTTGATGTGAAGACTATTTCCCTCTGAGTCAATATTTTGAGCTACTACATCCATAAGTATAGGTCAAGCTCATCAAATTGTTGCAATTACACTTGTTTCCTTTATCATTTTTTTTTTTTTATCTTCCTCTAGTTGAGATCTGATCATCAATCAAGCCATCACGGCTAGGGCAAATGAGTATTATCCAAAAGTTTGGAGGTTCCTGTATGTCTGTCTTCACTTCATATCAGCTGGATGCTTTACTCTCAGCTCTATGACTATGCACTTCTCCATGGGTTCAGGAGTCCCCAGGTTTCATCAGACTTTGGACCACCCAGCCCTTCCTCCTCTCTCTCATCTCCAAGTCAATGGGGATCTATGGAACGTGCTCTAACACAGCCCATATCTTCATTTCTGCCTTTCCCCCCTTCCACTCACCAGCTGACCAATGTGTCACCAGCAATCTTACATGCCTGCTCACGTGTTCCTTTAGAGTTTCTCTCTTGGAGAGGGGTTTGTTCTGAAGGGACTTAATTGCTTGTCTTGATGGCTCACTGGTGAACAACTTGCTTGCTCTTGTGGTAGTCAAACAGACTGTCATTTTTGTTTGTATTTTTCCTGCTGGTCTTTCTTTATAGAACTATCTTTTGTTGCTCCAACTGTTCAAGCTGGTCTGCTTGTCCTTTGAAGTGGGCATGACCCAACTCAGAAAGTTCTAGATGGGGCTTATGATCCCACCTGTACACTACAAAGGCTCCACAAGAAGCCTAATACCCTTTAGATATTCCAATCAGTTATAGGCTGAAGATGGTCTTACAAGTTTTCTGTAATCATATTTCCCGATGTTCCTTTCTATCCCAATCAAGTGTCTATTTAACAATAGTAGGTAAGGAAAACCAATATTCATAAAACAGTCAAGCATCTTAACATTATACCTTCTCTTTTACCCATTTAGAATATGCCTCGATTTCTGTGTCACAGATTCTCCCCCCCCCCCTTTTTTTAATGTTTTGTGGTGAATTATGTGAGAGTTTACAGGAAGAACATTAGCTTTCTATTCATCCTATTGTATATCGTTACATTGCCATGGTTACAATCCCCTTCATGCATCACCAGCCAAACAAATGGTACACCACTCAAGCATGCCCCCTGGTCGTCAGTACACAACCCCTCTCCCTCTATGGGTCTAGAGTTCCTATCCGCTCCATCTCTCCATATCATCGTCTCTGCCTGCATCTCTGGGGTCATTGTTTCTCTGAGTAGGGTCCCTCACTCTATCTCCACTCTTGGACAGCAAAGTCAACCACTCACCTCCTTTTGCTACAAAATGCCTACTTTTACATTTCCAACGCTCACAGTCAGTCCTGATACTAATTATTCACTATTGGGTTACATGAGTTCTATCCACATCTCCGTTCATCAGTCCTGCCAAGACAGATTGGCTACTACTCAGTGGTGATTCTACCTTCCTCCATGCCTTCTAGATCTAGGCTTCCTCTTGAAGGCTTGTAAGCCAGTCTCTTCTTG